TCCCGGAGAGGATCATCCCGACGCCGGAGACGGAGAGGATGGCGAACAAGCTCATCGGAGAAATGCGCCTCCCCAATAAATTCTCTTATGTATTCGCCGCGCGAAACATCATCACCGCTAAGGTCTTCATTCAATCTATCCCTCATTCCTAATTTCTCTTTAGGTTTTGGTATAGATTCCAATGAATCTGTGAAATCTTTTGTGGAGGGGATGCAGGATGCTTTGTCTATGACGGAATTCGAACTGATGGAGTTGCTAGATGTTGGAATTAAGGAGGTCAGATCCGCGATTACACTCATCAGTGAAGCTGCTTCTCCGCCATGCCAATCCGTAAGGCTCTCCTTACTTTGTTTACTACATATGAATATTCTTTATCTCTAATTTCTCCTTCATAAATTTTGTAAGGTTCGATCTTTGCTGGAGCAAAAACTCGAAAATGAACACTTATCGGGTCATCTTCCTACCCATTTGAAAGGATTGGATGCAGCACTATGTGGTGGCATACCTTTTGGTGTTCTCACTGAGTTAGTAGGTCCACCGGGTATCGGGAAATCGCAGGTAGGTTCTTCTGTTTTTATCAATCATTTTGGACTGTCTCTGGCATTGTTGTATGGTTAAGTTGCAATTGGTTACCTTCTACTGTTTTTGATCCCTGGAATATCAGTTTGTGTTATATGTTTATCTAACTAGCTATATTTCCTCTACACTCTTTGCTTCGGTGTGCTTGCGTACGGTAAATGTTTGCTCTACTTGGCAGTTTTGCATGAAACTTGCGCTATCAGCCTCGTTTCCAGCAGCTTATGGAGGATTAGATGGTCGTGTGATATACATAGACGTGGAGTCCAAATTTAGTTCAAGAAGGTGAACTGATTTTTTTTTCCTGCATGGCATATTTTTGTACATGAATTTCTCGTTGGAAAAAGGGAAGCTGAGATCGTATTCCACAGGGTGATAGAGATGGGACTAAAAAGCTTCCCTGAAGTATTTCACCTTAAAGGAATGGCACAAGAGGTTGTGGAATAGCTATCTGGTTGATTCTGTGTTTTATGTCTTTGTTAAAGTCATCTCGTATTCCAGATCGCTTATGCAACTATTCGGCAGTGCAGATGGCAGGAAGAATCCTGGTTTTGCGGCCAACTTCTTTATCGAACTTTACCAAAAGGTCTGTAAGACTTTACTCATCGTTTTGTTAGGTGTAGGCTTGTAGGAAATACCATGTTCATGACTATTAACATTGTCAGTTTACTTGGTAATAAGGGGTTGCAATTTCTATGTCATATGTTGGTATATTTCTGTCTATATGAGTTGAGATATGTCAAGTGTACAGCTAGAAACTATTATCATGCTGCAGTAGTTCAATTTTTTTTCTTTGTAATCAGCAGTATACAAGAACTCAAGGACTCGATTCTTCAAAACCAAGTAAAGCTTCTAGTGATTGATAGTATGGCAGCTCTTCTTTCAGGGTCAGTCTAATTTCTGTTTCGAGCAGATCATTTTCATGTCATTCTTGTCCCCTCGGTGATTTTAGTAACTACATATACATTTTCAGTTTTTATTCTTTTTGATCAAGTGATTTGATTTGTCAGAGAAAACAAACCAGGAGCTCAGAGACATCACCAGTTGGGTTGGCATATTTCTTTCTTAAAGTACGAACTGTAGTCTCGAGTAACCTCAAATCTTGGACGTCAGCACTTAATCTGTAGATTGATATTGATTCTATGGAATTTGCCAGATCGCTTGCTGAATTTTCACGGATTCCTATAGTAGTGACTAATCAAGTTAGATCTCGAAACCGAGATGAAACTAGTCAGTATTCTTTCCAAGGTACAGTTAACAGAAACTGAAGTGTCTTTTCGCTGTTTTGTTGACTCGATCAATGCAGCGATCCTTGTTGATTCCCACTCACCACAGTAACATATTTCCTCTGTAACAGCTAAACTAAAAGATGGATGTCAAGAACACACAAGGACATATGATTCTCACCTTGTTGCTGCATTGGGGATAAATTGGGCTCATGCAGTAACCATCCGGCTGGTTCTTGAAGCCAAGGCAGGCAAGGCTAAATTCATGGAATGAAAAGTAAAGCATTTTTTAAGATGACAGTAACTAACAAGAATGTTTGTTCATGTGATTGGTTTCACGCTTTGCAGGTGAGAGAGTCATTAAGGTGGCAAAATCTCCTATGACCCCTCCTCTAGCCTTCCCGTTCCATATAACATCAGGTGGAATTTCATTGCTGAGCGACACCGGGACTGAACTAAAAGGCCCAGGAATCAACACCATTCACGCTCGAGGTATAATTTTTCTCGATTTTGTTGGTCTATGTCTTATGCACTTTATTCATGACCAGTTTTTAGCATGAACCCAACTTGAGCTTGATCATAACTTTAGTATGCCTCTGATGCATTTGATGAGCATTTGAGGCCGATTGAATATTACAATATAAAGGCTTAACACTAATGATGAGGAGAATGTAGGGCACAGCGACATGATTAAATTTCACGGGGACTGCTCATAATGAATAAATCAGCTCAAGAGGGCGAAGCAAAGTCGTGCTGTTACAAAAATTAACCAGATGAACCTCAACTTCCAAAATGCTGTAAATTACCCCAATAGTAAGTCATTAGTTCAATTCAGTCTTCTTAGGAGAGTTTGATATTTAGATATTGATATAGGCTTCCATGTTACTTATGAATTGGAGGGATGATGATTAGCGATAAAATCTCACAATTGGTATATCATTTTTGTTTCGTGGGTTAGATCTCTGCACTCTTTAACTTAAAATACTATTGGTAAAGGGTTTTCATCTTAACTTTGCAATATGTACGATATTGGTAAAGATGTTTATCTTTCTTATCTTTTCTCTCATGTCAAGATTTTATATTTACTAGGCGACTACCCACGCGTACCACCTTAATATGGTTGTAACACCTCTGATCCACGGTCACCGCATCCCAACCAGAGATATTACAGCCATATTAAG